GGTATATGTTTCAGCTTCAAGCCAAGGTGCAAGAGGACCATTGCCGCTCCCTTCGGGTCCTGCGACGTCAACTTCAACGACAAATGTTAGTGGATCTGGCGGAGGCAACGGAAGCGCTGGAAGTGCTGGATCAGCCGAACAACCTGGTGTTGACGACCTCTATAATATGGATGACTTCCTCCCTACTCCCTTAGAAGCCGTCGGCAACATGCAACCGCCAGGGGTTAGTTTCTTTTTTTACACTGATTATTCCTCGGATAATTCCCGGTTTTAAGAACAAGCCGTCGCTTCCCGAGGCAGCTCGACGCGAGTTGTCACAGTTGTCGGATAGATTCGAGTTTGATAACAACACCGAAGGTTATCATGATCCCCTCTCGGCTTTGGTGAAGTGCAAAATAAGTAAGTTGTTATCCGTTTTTAACATCCAGTGTGTTTTTGCGGTTTCTTTTTGCTCTAGAATTGTCTTCCATCTTTCCGCCGTAATTGTGATGTCTCCCTCAAAATCCTACTAATCCCAATACGATACAGTTGTTTAGGTTTTCAGTACCTCCTTTATTAAGTTTCGTTGTAGTTCGGAAGAATCTCACTGTAAATCCGTTCAAGGACGGAAGCAGCACGGCATCTTTCTTGTATTTTAATTCGAGCGATAGTAGGTTGGCTCGCTCCCTCCCCCACCATTCCATATCCTAGCGTGAAGAGTATAATACCTTGATTTTTCAATTCTTTCGAATTTGGAAGTCATTCTGTTCACAATTAACGGAACGGGACCAGGTAGGATGGGAGTAAGCTTGCTAACTTGTTTGTTTTTAATGGACTTGGAGGCTATTGGATTAGGGATCGCTGATGTGTGTGAGTGAGTAAGCGATTAGATGGGGGAGTATTGACGTTTTTACAACTAGAGACGGCATGTATTGCAGATTGGATTGGGGAGCCAATCTAGATTTTAGAAAAAAAATCATTCGAGACGTTCTTCCTGCTTTCAAGACGGGAATTGTAGCCGTGGAGCTCTGGGAACTCGACAGCGCGTAATGCCCTTGAGGTTTCATTCGGAACATCCATGTGCCTCCCTTTTGTAGATAATTCCAAACTGTATACCGTCTAAAGAGCCCAAAGATTTCGACAATATGTGAATTCCCTTTTTGCACTTGCTCGATTGGCCTGGGTGCGCTAAAGAGGTAGTGCGTTGGTCTCGATTAGCAGGTAGGAAGAGTAGTTGCAAAACTCTTGAAAATCCGAACAACTAACAACTAAACCACGTAGTCTTATATTGCCATTGGTGATGAGGTTGCAGAAGAAATATTCTCACTGAAGAAATAGTCAAAATCAGCTTCTTAGAGCATCATTTTGAAATTTAGTTATTGTCCTTCCTTGGTCGCGGCTAGATAGGATTTCCTCAGTACTGTATCTCAAATTCCTTTCCGAGTGCAAAGGCGCTTCTCCGAACGAAAAGTGCACATTCTATCAAAAATATTCGGCATTTTCTAATGGCTGCCTCCGGCCTCGAATCGGGAAATGAAAATTCCATGGATCAAAACCCTTAAAGGAAGATTCACAGAAAATTCTTGCATTGTTTGCCAGCATGAATGCGTCAGTTTGATCACTAGAGACAACTTACAAAGTTGCACGCAAGAAGAACAGTTCCCAAAGAGAAACAAACCACGAAAAGTACACCCCGGGGACGGTCGCGGGAAGTAAGCAAACCAGCCCTTTTGGCTTCTGCTGGGAATGCTGAATGTTGGGGAGGGGATGGGGTCCCCGACGGTCGACGGACTACTTCAACTCGGTCCTTAAAACCGCCTCAATTTGATGCTTACCTCAGGACTAAGCCTTAAAGAGAGGACGGACT